CAGCGTCAAGAAAAGTCGGATCCTCGATCCTGTAATAGGCTACAGGCCTTATTTTTGTTACCCTGTACTGTTTCAATTTTGCTCTTTGAGAACATGCGTTTGAGGCATGCTTGGATGTTGGACTGATAGGGTTTCATTTATTTTATAAGGGTCTTTTACATCTGTGTCCCTAACTCGAACCCACTACTCACATTTGCCCCTAATTCGAAAGCCTGCTCAAAAATGCCCCTCCGCCGTTAGGTGCCCTTACAGAAATACCCTTCCGCTCCGTTTCCGTCTGGTCAAAGGGGTTTGACCATTTACGGGGCGTTTACTGGATTTTTGCCCCGAGCTTCACATGTCACTTACATGTGGGACCCGAACAAAACAGAGAAATAAAAAAGAAAAGGGAAAAATCACCCACCTCTCTCCCCTACCTCATAGCCTTTCTCTCTCACCTCCGGCGAGCTCCGGCTACCCTGGACCGGGCGCTACCGATGCTAGCTCCCCACTCTCCGCTGCCCTGTCTCCATCCCATCCTCCCTCTCCCCCCCCCTCTCCCTCTCTTTCCCTTCCTCCCACCTTGTGAAGAGATCCGCCACCGCTGCCTTCTTCTTCGCAGGGCCAATGGCCTCCTCGGGCTCAACCTCCATGTCCAGGAGCTTTGCCAAGATCTCTGTGCCCTCCGCGCAGATCAAATTGATGTGGCGCGCCTTCATTAGTCCGCGCCATTGCTGTCTTCCTTGCCTCCGGCCAGCCGCCATCTTGCCTCGATCTGTCACCGTGGGCAGTGGCGGAGCGTAGTGGGGACAATACCGGGCCTTGGCCACCCCTTGGTTGAGAAAAATTTACACAGTATGCTTATATTTGTACTAATCGCTCTACTAATCCTCCGGCATGTCTGATCACCCTAGCCTTTTCTATGTCATACACTCGTTTTGGCCCCTCCTTACATTTGGTTCAAGCTCCGCCACTGACCGTGGGCCGCCGTGTTCCCTTGCGCCGCCGTGTTCGCCACCATGTGCCCCCTCTGCCTCGCTCCTGTGCGCCGCCATGTTCGCCACCATGCGTCCCTTCTGCCTCGCTCCCGTGCGCCGCCGTGTTCGCCATCGTGCGTCCTCGCTTGGACCAGCGCCGGCGCTGCCCAATTTCTGCCGGCCAAACCGCTGCCAGTGGCCCCACCACCACGTGGGGCTGTTAGATTAGGGTTAATCTTTTTTTGCGAGTTTTAGGGTTAATCCATGATGTGGGTATTAATTAGTTAATTAATCTGTTAATGGCATATTAAATCAATCTAAAATAATCAATCCAAAATAACTAACCTATGACAAGTGGACCCATTCCCTTGTTGACCCAGTCAACTGCTGACCATTTGACCTTGACAGTGGGTCCTACATGTTGGTGACAAAAGGAGGCAGGGGCAAAATGTCCAGAAAACATCAAGTAAACGGTCAAACCCCTTTGACCTAACGGAAGCGGAACAGAAGGGCAATTCTGTAAGGGGAACTAACGGCGGAGGGGCATTTTTGAGCATGCTTTGGAATTAGGGGTAAATCTGAGTAGGTGGTTCGAGTTAGGGACAGAAATGCAAATGGCCCATTTTATAATGAATGGAACGGGGGGCATCAAACTCCCCTGATGATCTAAAAATCTGCCTAGCAAATTCACAGCACATTTACGGCAAATTCACAGCACATTTACAGCAAATTGGAGGTGTACTGGCAACAATGAAACTGTGCACGTACGCTTCATTGCCTACCTATATACCACACAGACTGCATAAAACACGAGCGCTACATATGGTATGCTGGTCATGCAATGCCACCGATCGCCGAGTTGACAGCACTAGCTCCTGTGCGCAAATTCCAACCAAACAACGGAACAAGGACGCCGCGCCAGCGCCACATCACCGGAGCGTACACGACAGACAGAATACTCGACCTGCACTGCCCGCAGCCCGGCCGGCCTGTCCATCGCGCGCGATTGATCGACGGAACCGCCCCGGCCAGAGGCGCGCCGTCTCCCTCCCTCCGGCCGGCCGGGGCCAGACCCGCGTATATGCAGAGGACAACTGGGCGCCAAGCGCAACGCGACGGGTCGCGAAAGCAGAGGCGCGCATGCGCATGGACGCGGCCGTGTGGGCGATCAATCCATCATCCGTCCATCGATCCAAACCAAACCGGGCCGCGCAGGGGTCGTTTCGTTCGCCGGACCGCATGATTACTGCCGCTCCCCGTCCCCAACGGAGGAGGTATCGTCCGGCGCGCCGCGCGCTAGCGGACACCGGCGGGAAATTATCGCCGCGCTACGCTCCGGGGGCGGGCGCACAGTGGTCGTACTCTGCATCTGCATGCATGGAGGAGGCGACGTGCGCGCCTGATCGGTCGATCGACGCGACCCGCCCGCCCGGCCGGCCGGCCATCATTATTCGACGGAAGAGTACGTCTCATCGTCATCGGCATCGGCATCGGCATCCCTGGAATGGAACAAACGATATGCGTAGGTGTGTGATAGGATAGGACCTGTCATGCTACCACAGCCATGCATCGAGGATACTTCAATTATTACTTTTCTGTGAATAATCAAAGATCATATATTCAATAGCACAAACGGAGTATATATATCATAAAACTATCATTTTTGGGCCCAGGGTTACAAAACCCTACCTTTTTAAAAAAAAATCGCTCATAACTACCGCAAAATTCATTTTTCATTTAAAAAAACTACAACTTTCTGCTGGTGATTGATTGGGCCGGAATTGATCGTGATTATAACAGGGATGGCCCACACGTCAGAGCTGACGTGGCATCAAAGTCAACTCTGTTAGGTTGACGGGTATGCTGAATGTTATGACATGTGGGGTTCGCCTGTTAGTATCGACATAAAAAAGTCCCAAATCCAAAAAAAGGTGAGAAGATAGAGCTCGTCACCTTCGGCTATGCCCCTCCCCTGCCTCACGCACATCATCTCTGCCATGGAGAGGCATCTCCATCCACTCGGCGGCCTGCCAGGGGAGCTAGGAGGTGCTGGGCGGCGAGGGAGCTCTGTCAGCAGGGGAGGCAAGGGAGCTCTGCCGGCGGGGGTAGGTGAGGAGCCTTTGCCGATAGGGGAGGCCAGGGGGCTCTGTCAGCCGGGGGCACCGGTGTCGAGCTCCTCTTAGATTAGGGAGCTCTGCTGGACCGTGACCATCCACTACAATAGCCGACAAGCAGCCTTACAACTACCGTGCGAGCCTAGCCTCGAGTGTACGACCACCACGGCCATGAGCGCTGGGATTACTGGCACCAGATGGTGGTGCACAATTGCGTAAGAATTTTATGATACAATGTGTATGAGATAAAAGTACATTTATCATATGTACCCATTTATCTATCAATACGTACATCCCTCGACAAGGGCTCCTTTGATTCAAAAGATTCTCGTAGGAATTTGAATTTCATAGGATTAAAATCCTTAGGGATTTTTTCTATATTGGTTGTTTGATTCATAAGATTGAATCTAATAGGATTTCCCCCCTAAGGATTCTTTTGTACCATATTCCATAGGAATTTTAGCATCCACTAAAATCTCTTTGAAATAACCTTTTCTTATACGATGCAATCAAATAGACCAAATATTGTAGGATTGAAATGGTCATGACATGATAATCCCAGATGTATGGATAGTAACGGAGGCTTTATGGGAACCCTTCATAGTAATTAACTCCCCCCGCCCCCAAAAAAGTGTACGGGTGTGGGGGCCTCCTCCTTCCTTAATCTAAGAAGAAAGTTATGCCACCTAACGTCAATCCATAGAATGTGTGGAACCTTGTTCATAACTCTAACACTATGTTTGGATGTTGATATTGGGCCTCAGAACTAGATATTGGCATTGGTCTGGCCCGAATGTCGTTGTTTGGATGGCTGTGGCATTCGGCATTGGAAACGAGCTCGAATATCAGCCCGACCACGGCAAATTGCGCGCCTGCCTTTCTCCAATTCGGACCCCCAGCGCTGGATATTGCCTTGTATTCGCTAGCCAGAGCCCCTCCCCGCCAACTTACCTCTTCGTTCCCGCTCGAGGAAAGGCAAGAGGCGCGAGCGACGGCGCGATTGAGGAACGCCAGCGACGGCGCAAGTGAGATCCCTCCCCCTCCCCCTCCCCCTCCCCCCTTGTCCTCCCCGTCCTTCTCTATCCCCGGCGAGGCTCTGTTCATCCCCATCCTGCTCTCTCCCCGTGCCAATCCTCAACCCCCTCCCC